ATGCAGAGTGTGAAACCTAAACCAGACCTGTGCCAATATGATACGAATGTGTCATCCTGGGCTTCGGCCCCTGAAGCCATTCTATATAGCAAAAAGAGATTCTAGTAGTGCCTTATCGATGGTAGGTTATGTATTACCTCATTTCGTAGCTCCTTATCAGAACTTTGTAAGCCCAGAGTACAAATGTGATTCAAAAAGGCGTACTGCCAGCCTGTCGAATCTTGACTGGTTTTGTATATTAAATCGCTACTAACCAAGAGGCTATGATATGTTATATCAACTGTCCTTGAGAGATTTTGACAATATTTTAAATGGAACGTTCCATATATCTTTACATTTTCAGTTATTCGTATAGCTCCTTTCAGAAGAAAAATATTTATATAACATACATTTTGATTAGTCGTTGTGTTATTAACTATTCCCTGTAGAAAAACGCTCAAAACTGCCTGCCAGTTCGCCATTCTAAAATACGATGATTTCATATTGCAGGGCTATCAAGCACTCACAAGTGGCTTCAAAATAAGACACCGGGCTGCCACATTAAAATTGCTAGTCTAACAGAGCTGTGAAGAGTTTGTAATAGCTATGCTGTAAGCTTGATATACATCGTTGGTCGGCAGAATGCTAGAGAAAAGCAACACTAGGAAATACCCCGAGATAACTATATTAGCAACAAGTAGCATAGCTTCCAGTATCAGGGATTAACTGGGGACTTCTCACCCTTCGTAAATTTTAACGCAGAAGTAACAACTGAAAATTTCAGGATGACGGCTGGGCGCCATCTTGTGAGCTTTTTTTCAAATGTAATGAGGAATCTAATGAGACCTTATTTTGAAGACCCTAAAAAATAAAATTATCATGATTAACTGGTAAGCTGTCAAGGTTAAGCGCTTTTGAATATTGAATCGCTTATAACTATTAATCAAAACGTTATAGTTATATCATTCCCCTTGTTTTGGAGGATTGTATCTAAATGCGCGGTAAGATATTCAGCTAAAAAAAATGTCAATTTTTGAAATGGAATGTTTCATATTATATTTTATATTTTTATATAACCTTCCAAGAGAAGATTGATATAACGTACTATAGCGTTTTGAGGACTAATTATAGAATTATACTTTGACAGGCTGCCATTTCATCATTTGCAAAGATGATGATTTTAGTTTCAAGGGTTACAAAGCACTTGTAAGGATCTTCTAAATAAAATACCGCAAGGTCTTGCATTCCATTTAGAAAAACTTCCCAGAGCGGCGCCCAGCTGCCATCTTGAAATTTTCTCCTTACGCTACAATTTAGTATTCATGTCTCAATTCGATTATCTGAGATTGCTAACTTGATCGATTCAAATAATAAGTAGGTAAGGATCTTATTGTATAAAAACTAAACTCACTTCAGCATAATTCGAAATGCTGCGGAATTACGATGCTTTTGGGAGGGGATGTGACATCTTTAGAATATGCTTTTGAAATTGTGTGGGTAATCTGAAGGTAACAAAAGCTCAATCATCACGTGGGAAAAGAAATAAAAAATACTGGTTCTTTTAGTATTGCATAATGCGTGTAAGTAACAGAGCTAATTATAATATTCATATAAATTAGAAAATAACAAGATTCCATTTAATGTTATACAAGTGTGAAAAATAGCTAAGTGTGATTTAAGAGTACAGGGATTCAAGGACCAGTTGTGTATTATTCACATAAACTATGTGTTTACTATCTAAACCTGTCTGTTTATGACATGACATGCAAGCTAGCTGATATCCTTCTAGATTTCAGAGAGTTATATTTACTTTGATGCACTACACTCATGAAATAAGATTTACCAGAGTGACTATCACCACATTCATTTTGCAAGGAAGACATATATCACATTTTTGCATTATTATACCATATACGCTTTTAGCCGCGGTAATTCTACGCATCTATTAGACATATTTCACACATAAATTTTCCCATACATTTGCCCTTGAGACTTGGAAATATTTTCGATATTCGCATCAACCGTTACGAAAAGAAATAATAAACTTGTCGCCAAGGGGGATGAGTAGCCTAACGAACTCACTAGACTGTTAATAGCGCATCGGATCTGGTTTATTCAATTATCAGATACCTGATTCCAGTAGATGAGGAGTATAGTGTTGGTACTGATGGAATAACGGGGTCTGCATAAAGGATCACAGGGAACCCAGCTCCCACGCTTTTTGTCCCTACCACTATTGTCGCTGGCAAGGTTAACTCAACGCGACGTGATCGGATGATCGTTAGGGCAGAGGAGATATTTTGGGCTGACTTGATCCATTGAATTCTTCTGTTATATATGCTAGTAGTTGATTTCTTGCCAAGAGGCCTAGGTATTAACTAATGAACTGATGACCGCGTTGCAGAGTCAACCTACTTGACGTCATTTGTTATTGTGGATCAACCAGAAAGGTAGAGTCAAGGTACCAACTTAGAGTTGCTGAGATTTTTGTAATGCTTGTAATTGTAGCTGGTGAAAAATGTTTGACAAATTGTTCCACATTCCACTAGGAGAAGAAAGCTTGACGGGCTTATCTTGCCGACCGTCTTTGGGACTAGATAATTCTATCCCAATCAGTAAAATATCTAGGAATTATCCTGGACTGCAAACTGAACTGCAGAGAGCATGTTGAATACAATGTTAGCAAGGCTTGCAATTCAATGTGGGCCTGCAGACGTGTTCTCGGTGTGAGGTGGAACCCAAAGTGGTACACTGGCGCTACACGACGCTAGTACGTCCATCTCTCTTGTACGGATCCTTAGTCTTGTGGCCTTGCATTGGAACTGAGTCAACTAATCCTGTCAAGGTCATACTGCCATCTTAGTCGAACTGCAAATGGAGGACCCCGTTCTTCTGAGCAGGGGTGATCTAATCACCCCTAGATGTCGCTTCAACCGCAAGTTTAATGTGGAGTATCCAACGAGGGAGGAGTGGGACGCCGGTAGCCGGATGCTCTCCGGAGCGAGTGACAGGTCTGGCACACGAACGGCTCGGCCACCGAAGAAGGCTCTGGCGCCGGGGTCTCTATTTTCCAGATGGAAATCTTTGCGATTCTGGCTTGTATATCCCGCATTTTGCAGGGGTAAGATTACCAATCTTCTCCGATAGCTAGGCTGCAATTAAGGCACTAAGTGCCTGTAAGATTACTTCGAGCCTTGTATTGCAATGCAGGGAGGCTCTGGATTGTCTAGCAGTAGGGCATTCGGTATCGTTAATGTGGGTACTCGGGCATGCTGGGGTAAAAGGCAATGAGACGGCGGACGCTCTGGCGAGACAGGATCAGCCGGCAAGCTCGCGGGTCCTGAGCCAGCTTTAGGAGTGCTCGCGCAAAGAGTTAGGAGGAAAATGGAGAAGTGGATTGCAAAACAACATTCTTAAAAATCGAGAAGTATCTCCAGACATCTGTCAGGCACGGGAACTCATTGTAGGGCCCAGCGCTAAGGATGTACGTTTCTGCTTATCTTTGAATAGAGCCAACCTAAGGTTGCTGGTGGGACTGTTGGCTGGTCATAACACTTTAAGGCGCCACCTGCACGTGATGGGGGTGGCTGAGGTTCCCTTGTGTGAGCACTGCACGGTAGTGGAAGAGACCTCGGCGCACGTTCTGTGTCGCTGTGAAGCTCTGAGCTACTACTTGCTGACTATTCCGGGGTCCATTACTTTGGACCCCCAGGACGTCAAGGAGCTTCGACTCAAAGCCAAACTCAACTTCGCTAGAAAGGCTAGGATTAAGGTGCATAAGGGTCTGTTTAAGCGGCCTATGCGCTGACTTCTTATGGTGGCCGGAATGCCTGAAAATTCACGTTTCATTCATTCATTCATTTAATGACATTGTGTATGTGTCTCCGAAAAAATTCCCCCTTGTATTAGCTGTGGGTGTTACCTAAACGTCATGACACATGGTTTGGCTTTGATGTCAGGTAACGTTTGCTTCAAAAATTAACTATCGGAGGCCATTTACAGCTCCTAAGACCTAAGCTATGAGTTTATACTATAGCCGGAAGGAAACGCACAGTGGGATTAGTATACTAATAATATGTGCTGGTGAAGATTCCGTTGGTTTCATAAAGCACGCTGGCGAAATTTGAGTTGCAGCATCTTAGGCGACATGGTCGTTGAGTTATTCCTTTATAGGTAGCGCTCACAGCGAGTTGAGCGCGGAATGGGCTAGGGACTACTTAATACACAAATTGACATTATACGAATTTTAAATGGCATGATATCGATTTTTTGCTTAATACATCTACGGGCCACTATTGATACCGGCGAGTAGGTTTAGAAGGCTCAGAACGAAGCAGCATTATGTATGAGAGCCCAGAACGCAAATGATTTTAACATGTCAGTATAAGGGAGTCAGATCACCATTAATACTACGATGTAAGAAAGTCTTGAGACTGTCTCTTGAAAAAGCGTCTTTAATGGATAGTCGAAGTAGCATCAGTACATCAGACATACTCAGGAGGTCGAGGCCTGCGGCTGAAGAGGCCACAGCCGAGAGCGCAATTCGCTGCCATTTACTTTGCTGTTGAGACAAATTAAAGAACGAAGGGAGGCGGTGTACTTAAACATTGCATATGTGATCTTTTAACATTTGGGGGCTCCCATCCAACCGCGACCCTTGACTCGTGCTCCTTGTGTCCTTAGGGTAGAGACGGAATAGGACTATATAGCCTTAAACAGTTTCTTTCCAGCCGCTGCCGCGATTGACGAGATGTGATTGTAGCAAATCCTGATTGGAACTTCAATAAGGCAAAACGAATGGCTTCCTGGCAAAACTCCATCATAGTCCAATAGGGGAGACTCGGGCAAAAAGAACCATAAGGGCAAAAGGAATCAGTTGAAAGAAAAATTATTTTAAAATTTCCGCCACTATTTTCTATTTACTTCTGGCAGATACTGTAGTTCTCCAGTGTTTGATTTGATACCCATCCCGGTAAGCTTATTTTTCATATTTTTACCGCCAATTTAGAAAATGTAACCGTCTTGAATTCTTGATCATGGTTTAAATAGATGGAAATTATTTTAGTATTGTTATAAATTGAAGCATTGAATTATGTGGCGATGAATAACGTTTTGTGTAGATTGTAACCTCACATTAATTGTGGCGCTGTTCAAGGGTTTGACATTTATAAATAATATTTCAATGTGTTGCATACCTACTGGTCAATAAGAACCAGGCAAAAAGAACCGGTTCCATTTGCCCGGCTCCTTTTGCCCGCTATTCCGTTGGATATACTTTTTTTTTCAAAATGGAATATTGTTTCAGAATAATGGTTTTCAAGTATAAACGAAAAACAGAAAGAGCCCAAGGACGGGACGAAAACGTAATGAATCGCGCAATAAATTCAATTAACCAAAGAGAAACATCTATTCGCGGTGACGTTCTGCAGTTTAGAATACCATATCCCACTTTACGAAAACATTTTTTAAAGCAGCCCTCCAAAAAACAACGGTTTAGACTATTTTTTTCTGGCGATATAGAACAGCAACTTGTACAAAATATTCAAGAAATGGACGCTCGTTTTTATGGGTTCACAAAACAAGACTTATGCATTTTAGCATTTGAGTTCGCAAATCGAAATAATTTGCCACATCATTTTCGTAATGGAACAGCTGGGGAGCAATGGTACTCAAATGTTATGAGGCGATATCTCGAATTACGCCTTAGAACTCCATAACCTACAAGCACTGCCCGGGCTTGTGGATTTAACAGGCCCCAAGAGCGGTTATTTTTTGATTATTTAAATAATATAATGAAGAAAATGTACCATTCCCCGACTGCGGAGATATTTTAGGCAACTCTAAGTCTGGCGAAACATGGATTGAATGCAATATGTGTCAAAACTGGGCTCATCAATTATGTGCTGATTACAACAGAGGTATCTATATTTGCGATAAATGCAAGTTATCAGTTTTGATTTCCTTGAAATAAATAACTGTTAATATACTTCCACTTTTAGTTATGTTTGAAATAAAGTTCTTCTTGCCCACAGGTATTTCATATTTATTGCCCTCATATGTGGGCAAAAGGAATCAAAAGCATGTTTTCGTTTAATGTTTTTTTTAAGATATGTTACTATAATTATATATTTTTATAATATATATTTTGTTTCTAAATGTAATAGAGTCTTATTTCAAACTAAAAAAACAATAATTAGGATTTAATAGAAGATTTTAAAAGCTCACGACTTAAGGTGGTTCCTTTTGCCCGAGTCTCCCCTATCCATCAACAGCTAGTTGAGTGGGAGATCATAACTATTGGAAGGCCTTTTCATTTATCGTGAAAATCAAATTATATTGTATAATGGAGCGCTCACAATCTGATTTATTGTTTCAGGTGTCCAGGGCTGTGAAGAGTCTTCGTTTTCTGAGACTACGAGGAAGCTGTAGAAAACGAGGTTATGTGAAGTCGTCCGGCGAAACGTCACCTCACCTATATGCTCCAGAAGACGGAACGGTATGTAAAGTGGCGCATTCTGTTTTGTGATTTTTGGCCCAAGTACAACAATCTCCTAACAAAGAAAATGGAACTAAATAACTTTGTTGTTAGTTTCGGTGATATGGTTATTTATATTACAAAGTATGGTGGAAACTCACATAATCATCTACGTATAATACATCGCCATGCTAATTATATGGGTTTCTTATGTTATCCATTCATAATTAAACAATTCCTTCTTTATATATTTTTATGTGCGTCATAAATTTTGGGGTTCATAAATAGGCATAGTGCCGACCTGCTTCAAAATTTAATCGGTTCGTGACTATATAATTATTATGGCTGTATGTTTTCAAAATGGAGTAAGGATTCGTGTGATACCTTAGTTTGACGATTCCTATGAGTGCTTTACAACCGTAGGATGTAAAATTACTGTCTATAACAATGGCAAACAGGGAAGCTGTCAAAATTGAGCGTTTTTGTATACTGAAGCGCTCATAACTCAACAGCTAATCATTAAAAACGTTATAGTACAGTACGTTATATCAAGCCCTTTTTTTTGTAAGGCTCTATCAGAGTGCACAATAAAATATGAAACAATCAGCTTGAAAACATTAGCAGATTTTGACAGTTCTTTTGAGTGGAATATTCCATATTTTATGAAATATTCGGACAGTGTCTTCCAAGAAAAGAAGATCGATATGACGCTATGATGATTAGTTGTTGAGTTATAACATTGATTAGCGAATTCTACCTTAAGATAGCCAAACTAATGCGTGTGCACAAAGAAAAATTACTCGAGTTAAAATTGAATACATAAGGATTTGTCACAGCTGTGTGCCTCATAGATAGCAGTGCCTATACGCTCATATATGCCAATTAATTGGCTACAGCGCCATCTATTAGACACTGACCTCTTTAAGACAGTAACTAGAAAAACAACTGTGGCAAATTCTCACAGATGACGCTGCAGTATCTCATTTTATCTCGGATAATTTTTTAGGTCGTCTCCAGGTAGAATACGTTAGTCAATGATTATAAGCCACTTAATCTACAAAAACGCTTAACTTTAACAGCCAGCCAGTTTGCCATCTTCGTGGATGATGATTTTATATTCTTGGATGATACAGTACTTCTGAGGAGCTTTAAAATTACTCATACCCTTCTAAAAACGTTCAAAATGGAGCCCAGGCGTCATTTGAAATTTTCAACCGCCACTTCAACGCTAAAATACAGTATTTAGGGGGATTTTTGTAAAAAGCACTGTATATGTATAGTTTGGAAGTATTTGGTGTTAAGAAAATTCAAGTGTGATGAGCATTTGTTGGTTCTTCATTTCTTGTCCAAAAAGATTTCCAAATATTTTTTTATTGTACTTGTGTCACCTCAAAACCAAGTCTTATTCGGCGATTTTTTACTTCCCATATACTAACGAGTATCCATGATAAAACATTTGCTGACATGTACCTCATACTGGTTGAGTTTAAATAACATACGTATTCAACTAAAATTTCTCTATCATCTATCTCATCAATTCTGGCATAGTGTATAAAGAATATTCTGTTTGTATCTTTAGTAACAAAAAATGGCGTCAAGTAGTTTGACTCCGCACTTTTTATGCAACGCCGTCATCAGTTCATAAAGGATTAAGTTCAGCACGAGTTGAGCCCTATGAGAAAAAAAGTTACAAATATGTATAACACAGCAACTAGGCGGACCAACTCATTCAAACGTACAACAATCCATAGACATTCCTTTCATGGCTTACTGGTGCGGCGAGCTGTCAAGCTTTAAGGACAAATCTACGGAAAACCCTATGGTGTGTTAAATGTTTCTAACGGCGCCTCTGAGAAACGAGGTTTGTGCGATTTCTATAATTTTTTTCTCGTGTTTTTACCAGCATCTTTGCCGCCACTGGACCAATTTTGAAAATCTACAAATTTTTTTCATCCAAATCCGAGAACTACTTCTCAAATATTAGTGGACAAACAGACAGACAGAATGACGGAAATGAGTGCCATGGTTTTTCGTGATGTACATGTACCTGTATAACATCAAAACAACATTGTCATCTTCGAAATTTTCGCGATTACAATACTTCCTTACAGTGGCTTAGGAGAAAACATACAACTCTTAGGCTATTAGTGTAAATGTAAAGAGTCTCCTTTTAACAAGTCCATAAACATAAAACAACGGAGATAGAGGTTTGTTTGTTTCCTAAGCACTCGAAAAGGGGCTACCTTGTGTTCCTGTTACACAAACGTGTTAATTGGTGTTGGGTGTGGCGGCGTGCTTGAAACACGTCGTGTTTCTCACGCAAATTAGCATCAGACTAAACGCCCGATCGGCCATTATTCACATGTGGTCGAGAACCCCTTCTACAGGGTGGCGTCAGAAAAGGAGCAACATTTTTAGAAGGGGTCTATCTAGTTTGATCCAAAAAATTAAGTGTGTATTGCTTACTGTATGGGTATAATTTTTTTAATACCTATATGCCTTACTGGATATCACTTTTACTTTCTACCGACAAGCCAAAGTATTACTGTGATAGTGAAATTTTTCCAATTCAAAATTCCTTGAACAGCATAACGTCTTCACGAAAATCTATATTACTCATTCAATATCTATCAGTATGATGTTCTATTGGCATGTTTGTTGCATGACTTCAGAAACAGCTGCACCGATTTTGATGAAATTTGGAAAGGGATATGTGAATACGTGGAAACTACAGAGTTAATTACACGACACCGTTTATTTAGCCTCGTATATACGTCTTCAAAATCTGATAATGTGAGACTCTAGTACCCATGTTCATGAAGAAAGTTCTCATCTTATTCTTAGACTCAATTTTTCCATTATGGATTGGATCATCCTGTGTGGCTTCCCATGCCTATCGTATGTATGCCACCACCCCGCTAAAAACGCAACCAGACACAGAGTATACATCATCTTTGTTTGGATACAAAATATGAAACGGCTAGCGTCTGCGGCAAGTTTGCTTACATATCGGATGGCTGAAATTCCTCCTGGATCCTGTTGTTATATTTGGAAGAAATGTTGCTGCTTTTACTGTTTTTAACGCCACCAGCAGACTATTGCAAGATGATATACCCTGTAGTCAGACCAGCATAGTAGGTAAAGGTGAATTACATATTAGATGATAAAACCTAAAAGCAGACAAAAATATGAAAACCAGCTCGAATTATGTTTTAGCGTGTAACGTTTACTTTTTAATATTAAGTATCATTTATTTCAAACATTCGCAAATTATATTTGAACATTAATAAAAAAAGATCAAAAAATCTTACAACCCCCTGATTTGAAAAATAGCTCCTAAATCTGGACCGCTAGTGAACATTGTCAATCATCAATAATTAAGATTATATTCTTAATCAAGGATACTCGTATAGAGTACATTTAAAACAAAAACATAGTTTTTATTTGTTTTGTGATAAAAGTTGTAGACTTCCTTTCCCTTCCCTACCGACATCTACTAACGTCGCAGTTCCCCCATACCTGACGCGTCAGACGTGACACCGCGGCAGTAATGATAGGTCGAGACTGACACGGCCACTGGTGAACCCAGAAAGCAGAAAACATTTCTCTATTATTCTAAGCTTTAATGGCAGATGTAAGGGGAAATCTAGGATATGTGAAATATGTATAATAGGCTGGGGTTGGAAGTGTATAAATATATTACATAAAGAATGGAGATATCCCTAACCCACAATTTTTAAACGCTAAATAAACTTGTCTGGAATAGTCAAAAGTCTCTAAAACACCAAAAAACAAGGTTAGAACGGTTTTTACTTTCTCCATTTTTTGCCCATAGCTCCTTCGCCAAAGCGTTTTCATCCCCGATATAGTAGTAACCTTGTATCAAAATTAGCAGACAGACCGGCTGAAGTGGGACATGGTTTTCAGTGATGTCCGTACGTATCATGTAGAATCCAAAAAACATAATATCTCAATTTCGAAGTTTTTGGCGATTGCTGTACTTCCTCGCCAGTGGCTTGGAAAGTTATATTGTATACAGATTTTATAGATCCTCTTAGCTCTAAAGCCAATGCTTTCATCTTCGAATTCAATTTAATAAAACGATTCAGTGTTGATATGTATACATTGAGTATTCCAACAAATTGTCTTATTTCGAAACCTGGAGCTATAGTGATAAGCAATTCAAAGATGTACAAAATACCAATCACCTCACAGTTAAACGTAATTCAAAGATGGAATATCTAAATGAGAAGAATCTAGTAATTTACGGCACCTAATTAAGGAAATAATGTTTCATTTAGATTTAATAAACATTATGAAAATGGTGTTACTGAAATTACATCATTCATAGAATTCCTGAGAAATTAAAATCTAAAGATACTGATGCCAGTTTCTAATAGGGAAACTCTTTTCTAATAGATTATGCGATACTTTCGATATCATAGGAACAAAAAGGCAATCGTACCGGTAG